CTGCAGTGCATTTGATTTCATACTGGGGATATGTCCAGCTGTGAAAGCAACTGAGAAATAGATACTCTTTCTCCAGATCTTTCTTTGTCTTTTCTGGGTAGGTAATATAAGCCTTTTAAGGTATTTGGGCTTTTGCAGCCTATGTTTTTTTGCATTATCTAGCTTTAGAGTTTCAAACTATATTTTAATAAAAGAAGGAATGTTTAAAACATTTAACAGAATAAAACCATGGTGCATATATCTCTTCCCTATTGTTTTCTCATTATTTGTTTATAGTGAAGTATAAAACCAATGAGATATGTCATAAAAGAACAAACCACTCTGACTGAACTATCAATATGTTTTAAGGGTGTTGAAGATACTTGGCCAAATCCTGTGTGTGCCAGCAGAGTGTTAATCATGGAGTTATAGAATAGTTAGGCTTGGAAGGGACCTCTAGAGATAGTCTGGTTCCACCTTCCCTGCAGTGAGCAGGGACATCAGATATGCACCTTGTTCTAGGTCAGGGGCATGCTGGGTCTGTGAGACCTGCTGCACCAGTGGTCTGAAGGTGTGTCATCGACCCTTATGGAGGATTTCCACACATCTGATGCTTTTACGAAAATCTTGAAAAAAAGCTGTGAAGCCACTATTAGTTCCTTTGTAGCCACAGTTCCTGAAAAAAAACCCAAAAAACCCCCCAAAAAAACCTGGCTTCCCACTTTCTTCTGCATATTATTTTGAAGTTTAAGGGAGTCATCACACAGAAGAGGAACCTTCCTGTTTCGTAGCTTCTCTTTCCATCTATTGTTATTGCAACTTTTTTAAAAGTGCAGTCTTGGTCTGTGCACTGTACAAGATTAGTGATCTCTGGATTTGCTGCTAATGTTATGGTATTTCTCTACTAGCCTCAGACTGCTCGTCTCCAAACATTGTACTGAGAATGAAGATACATGCATTTGTTATCCAAGTCCTGACTTCCAGAAATAGTAAACACCTTCCCCCACTTATAAGACATAATTTTTCTATCTCTTCTCTGTATTTCAGCACCTGTAACAGTCATCTGTAGAGAAACAGGGAAAAAATGTGGTTTTGGTGAAAAATGTGTCATTTGGGTACTTGTGAAATCAAGAGTAGTTTGTTCAATCATTTTGTAATTATTATTAGCAATTTTTCAGCCTTTGTATCATTTTATTATCTTCATTTTTAGTTTGAAAGGACAGTGACATTACCCAGACACAGTCCAGACAGAGTCTCAGACAAAGTCTAAAAATTACATTATCATTACTGTTGATGGTATGAAGTTGTCTTGTACCTGTGAAGAAGCTATGTCCAAGTTTGTGTATAAAGATCATAAAAAGAGCCTTAATCATGTTTAGTATCAGTTAAACTACTCTAACATTACACTGACAATGCTCAGCATCACATAGAGAGGACTAATTGTTTATCACATTTATTAGTACCAGGTCCACTTTATGATGTGAACAGCAAACCTAATGAAATATATGGATGTGCTGATCTTCCTGAGCCCTCTCCAGAGCTAAGAATGCTTTATCCAGCACAGAGGTGTTCAGAAAATTCAATATAATAAGTGTGGCCATTCATATGATGTTGTACCCCAGAAGTTTGTGAGTAACCGTTGCAGATTGTCTCTGCAGCAAAATTTGGAGCAAATATGTCTGGGCAGAATCTGAGAAATGTCAGAGAACCACTGAATGGTTTAGGTTGGAAACGATCTGAGGTGGTGAGGTTCAAGACTCTTCCCCCTCCTTAAAGCAGAGCTATCTTTGGATATTTGTCTACATTTTTAGACAGATGTCTAAAGCCTTCTAATTCTATTCAGATGAAATCTGCAGGAGAAAAGAAAGACATCATGTCTAGGCATCTCAGATATACAAAGACATTACAAAGGAGAAAATGGCAGAAAACAACATTAGTGTTCAGCAACAAAGCTAATCATACAGAAGTGGGTGCCTAAATTTAGTTAATGATTTTAAAGTACTTTACAGCCTAATAAACTTCGATTGCTCCAGTGGGAATTTCCTGTGAAGAGCAGACTCAGTCCTGCAGTCAATCCATTAATTAAGCTATCTTTGTTCTTGTGAATAATGTTATTTGCATTTTTGCAGTTCAGGGAGAGAATATGGGCTGTATGGAAATTGACTATATGAAAGGAGGTAATGTAAATATTTGTGCTCTTCCAGCAGTCTAAAGGGCAATCTATAACTAATCTGTAGTTACTTGAACAGGTAAATGTAACGAGTGTTTATATAAAAGTGGCAAAAAGTTTGCATTTAACTTGGCTAAATATAGTGTTGTGAGAAATCCTGCTTTTAGACTTCTTCCATGTATGAACACTGTCCACAGTAATTTTTCATTTTAAGACAGAAGTGAAACTATTGTTCTTATGTCATATTGTTGGTGGGGGAGCTTTGGTCAGTGTAAAAAAGAAAAAGGTATAATACTAACTTCTCTCTTGTTATTTCAAAACCAGATGAACTATGAAACCAGTATGTGAATATTTTTATCAAAGGACAAATATTAGTGGGTTTGGACAATATAAGAAGGAATTAGTATTTCTGTGAAAATAATTTAGAAAGTGAAATAACCCAAAGCCAAACAACCAAAAAAAAAAAACCCTAACCCATTTGCATGTGAGAGTGTTGAGTAGAAAGTACAAAATATCTGCACATAGGATTCAGGAAATATGTTTTCCCAAGGGCATTAGGAAAATACTGGTCAACTATAGTTCAGCTTGCCTGGTGGAATGCTCTTTTGCTGCTTCCTGCTGCCCACACTGTTGTCTGCTCAGAGGTCTGGCACGTATCATCTCAGCTTTCCATTCCTGACATCACCTGATTGCACGATTCATTCAAGTGGGTCAAGCCTTGTAACTCCAAAATATGTAGCAGCAATCAAAAGAAACTGAACTCCAACCTACACAGCAAGTTTCTGCTTGGTAGCCCCATACAGCTGGCTCTGTTCAGGGCAGGTCAGCATTACAGCAGTACAGACAGCCAGAACTGCTGTCATGCAAGCAAGGATGTGGCCCCTTAATTTTTTATCCTGATGTTTGGGTTTTTCTTAGCTCCCCCACCTCCCAGAACCTTGCAGTGTTGTTGTTTCCTGAATGCGTTACTTCCATCAAGTACTGGCAGTCCTGACATTGATAGGCAGTGAGTCAATACTTTTATAGAACTGATATATTTTATAGAATTGAAGCCAAACTAGTTTTGCAGATCTACAGTGTGCAGTATGTGATTTTCCATTCTGGATATAATAACTGCAATTTGAAATACTCCCCCACAAGCATTGATTGCAAGCTTTAGGAAATTCACAGTGAAGAATTTAATTAAGAACGAAGAAACTGCATCACTTCATTTAAAAAAGAGAAATTCACCCGAGATATTTTGTTCATTTTCAGGCTATAATAGCAATAACCATCTTTAGCTGAGGATATTTCCTGGGGCTTAATGGCCCATGGCTGTGCTTCTTCAGGTGATCATCATCTCCCACCAGTCATTAATCCCCTACAAATGCCCTGCACCTCAGTCATTAAATGTGCTTAAATGTGCTTCTTCTGAAATTGAAATAGTTCTATATTTAATGCATCTTCCAGGAATAGGAGTGATCTTTCTGAGGTGAGGAATGAAAGAAGTTTATTAATGTGTCAAAGAAGTACTAATTATGACAAGTGGATAAGTTCTGTTTCTGGTGATAGCATGACAGAGAATTTTTCCATAGTAAGAGCATGTTATATGTAAGTCACTGTTTTATGTGCATGATTTACACTCATCTCAATTGCATAACAGCCAGATCAGAAATACAGATAGTTATTTGTAGTTAGATTTCTTCTGCAGAGTATCTCAGCACAGAAAAATCTCACCAAACATGCAGCGTGTGACTGCAGTACTGCTTAAAAATACTTTCCTTTCCATAGCTGTAAAAATAGAGCTATACAGCTTTTTGTGTATTTTACAGGTGTTTGTGATAATGCAAGCAAATAAAAAGAAGTTAAATATTTCATAGCTCAAGTCTGAACCTCTCTCTAATGAATCTTTTGGTGAGCACTTTATCAGTCTTTCCTACAAATAGGACCACAAGAGCAGTGCCGACAGCATCATCAAAGGTTTTAGACATAGTAGGCAGCCTACCTCTGCTCAAGTACAATTAAAGCCTTCAAAGAAAATAATTGCAATTCAGATAAATTGAAAGAAAATTTAGGGATTTTGATTTTATTTTATTTGAATTTTACTTATTCCGATGTTGTGCTCTTTTCATCTTGAGCTACTAAGCATGCATAGTATACACCTAAAGAACATATTGCATGAAGCCTGTACCTGTCCCAAAAAGATTCTGAGAGGGATCAGAGCAGACACGGCCTTCACTGAGTGAAAAATTAGTACCTGCTGGGTATTATGGTAATTTATTATTTATGTTGGACATTCTGATCCCATGTACTTCAGTAAGTGACTTTGTAGATAATGAAAGAAGTAGACCTTTGGGCCATGCATTATTAAATGTCAAATGTTAAATTACGCTAATGTTAAAATTAGAGCTCTCCTAGTCAGCACCTTTAGATTGCAGATTGACCTGAAAAATACTTATTACAACCTGACTCCAAAATTTCTTATCAAAATTTTCTGTTTCTTTTAACAAGCAAAATATTACATTGTTAAAATACCTTTCAATATAAACAAATTGCTTTGTTTTAGTCACAGAAAAAAAATTTACTTCCTTCAGTAACCAATAACAACTGCCTTAATTTTGCATTTTTTCCAATTTAGAGAAATTTTTCCTATGTGAAAGACAAAGGTTTCTTTCAGAAAATTTCAGAAATTCACTTTTTCTAAAGGGGATTTATCAGTATATCTGGAATTCTTGGATTTTTTTCCTCAAGTTCTCTGTTTTCACCCATTCATTATGTTTTCAGAACAATAGAACTAAAAAAAAAACCCCAAAAAAACCCAAACCAACCTCATATAATGTTTCTCATTCTCATTGTAAATTCTGTGTTGTAGGTCTTGTTTTCCCTCTGTGCTGCATTCTGGGCAATCCAAATTATGAAGCGGATCACTTCATTCAAGGATAAACACCACTGAAAGAACGGAGCTGCCATCACCTTAAATATGGAAACAGCACTTCAGAATAACCTTCTAAGTTCCTTGGAATTAATCAACCATGAATCATGCTGAATTGCAATCAGTTCACTTATGATACAAGAGATTTTTGTTTTTTGTATGAAGGTTTGAAAGATTCCTAAGGGCGTATATTCATTTTTATTTGATTTTTTAAATAAATATTTAATTTCTTCCCAATTTAAATCAAATATTCATTCACAGCATAGATTTTTGCATTCATAGGTTTACAAATTCTTCGAGACCATGTAAAACTAATTTAATTTTTGCAGTGATTTTGTTAGTAATGAAATGTGAAAGTATTTTTCACAAGAGGAATAATTAAAATCATATCTGATGTAACCTGGTATAAAGTGATTGACTGTCTTTTTATTGACGCTAAACATAAACATATGTGAATGTCATTTGTTCAGTAATGATTGAATTACACTAGAATCTCCATGTCATACCCAATTCAGTGTTCATAACAGACAGCTACATGAGGATGAGTAGTTGAGGCAAGAAAATTATTAAAAACAGCATGATAAAATAACTCAACCTAGTATGAGTTGAAACGTCTTCAATAAAATTGGCTGATGCATGCGTTGTATAATGCAGACATGCAGCTTAGGCTGAGTTATTTACAGAATACACCTGTATTGCCAACTTTAGACAGTGATCAACTCAGGATTTACACATGGGTATCCCACTGACTCTCACGTGACAATATATTTGCGAGGCTGGGCCCTTAATTTCTGTAATTTCCTGCTGGGTGATGTCAGGGGAGATGCATGTCTTGTCTTTCAGAAGCTATTGGAAAGATGGTGTGTACTAAGATAGGAAAATTAAATACAAATGGTAGAGGGAGTCTCCAAACAGCAGGACTGGCAAAAATACTGGATCTAGGTTGTTTTTCTTTCCTCATACTCATCCAACTTTTTTTTTGGCTCCAAGCCTTTCAGAAGTGCTTAAAGTCAAGTAGCTAAAAAATGGAGTCTGTCTTAGATGCTTCAAACTAATAATACCTGGATTTAAAAATGAGTTTAAGTTTGTGTTCTGGTTTTTTACCCATTTCATTTTCCTTTAAGATGTTAATGGCAGTCTAACAGACATCTGAGATTTAGGCAGCCTACTTTGAATTAACTCGTATTTTCAGTATCTAGCTGTAACAGATGCCACTGTCCATGGAATGCTATGTTTCCAATAAATTTTCAGAAACACAGTAATGTTATTTATATAAAATTGTTGCACTTTCTAATGATGGTATCATCTTAATTGTAAAATAGAATCATTAAAATGCTTGGATTGCAAGGAAACTTAATGATAGGTTATTTAATATATAATTTGAAAAAATAACAAAATCTGATTCCAGAAGTACAAGAAAATTACCAATTTCTTATGTGGCCTTGTGAGTTAGTGCACCTGTATTTTCCAAATTTGTAATGGTGACATGGTCAGTTTAATATAACAAAGAATCATGTTGAAAGTCAATTTCCATATCAAAATAAATTCTTCAAAGAGACAGAAATGGGACAAAAATTTAACATTTTATGCATTTGAAAACTGGCAGTTTTGGAAGGGCAACAATGAAGAATTAAGTTAAATTAAATTAATTTTAAAGCTGTCCCGATGATTGTCATGTATTTACAAGAGGAATGTGATTTCAAGGGCAAGTATAAAATGTGTCTGATGAGGAAAACCTAGTCATTAAAGCAGAGGCCAAACAAATTTCCACTTTTCCAAGGGTTTTTAGATCCCAATTTCCTGCTTCCAGGGACTTGCATTGTGTATAGGTTGTTTGAAAGCAAGGGACAGTAGAGGAGCAGCATTCTTCCATTGCAGACTTATCAGAAGGGTCTGAGAACAGCTCCTTCAACATGAGGCTGTTCAAGCCTCATGGTGAGTGTCCAGGACTCCTGTGCTTTACAATAACATCACCCAGGTATGTATAAGCAATCCTTTGGCTACAGACTGGAAGCTAGAATTTGCCATTTTTGGAGAAGAGAGTTTCAGGGACAAGCTCTTAGGAACGCCTTTGTACCATTCTTTCAATGGCTATGTGGTAAGTAACTATATGCCTGTCAACTTGTTTGTCACAGATTTTTTAAAATATAAATTATATAATATTTAACGTGTCTAACACCACTACTGGATCTAGTTAATGCTGTCTTTATATCCACTGCAATGAGTGAAATAATCATCCCAAAGGGTGGGAGTCAGTAGTCAGGAGACCAGTTTGGAGACCAGTTGAGCACTGAATAGAATTATGTGCAGTTAATATATATAATGCAGTTAATTCAATTAATTTCATACAAACTGCAATCAATGCTCATTGCTACCATTATATTTTGATAAGCCAGCATTCTCCCCTCAGTTTTTTAATATTCCATAACTTATTTCTTCATAATTTGACCACGTTGTGTGGTTGGAACAATCGTATGGGACCAAGTGAAATAAGGTGAATTATGTGAAGACAGTAGTGTGAGAGCAAAATGTTGATGTAGAACTAATAGATTTTGTGTAAGTAACTATCTTTCTTGTGGTAAACCACTCTTTCAGGTCTCTAGAAAGAAAAATATTCTAGACTAACAGCCTTGCCTCACATGTCCAAGCATGAAACTTCATAAATAATGTTTTTATTTGCACTATTGCATAAGACTTCCTTTTGGTCTTGTTTGTTATTAAACTCCCCAGTGATACACCTTAGGAGAAGAATGTGGATAAACAGAACTTTTTTTCATCAAGACTGTTAAAAAGCGATTCCCTGCTCCTACCAGCTGTTGTAAAGTCACATCCCTACACATGGCCTTTCCTGGACTATGTACACAGCAATATCAAGTTACTGAAAACCCAGAAGTAAGCAGCTGAATCCTGTGTCACTTGGGACCTGACCCTGCACCATTCAAGTCACCGAAAAACTTGCTGCTGACCTCAGGATCAGGGCAGAGCATTCCCTGTATGAAAACAAGAATGATGTAATATTTACTGCAATTCAAGCTTTGTTGAGGTGCATTGATTAAAAGCAACAGAGTTGCACAATTGCTTATTCCTGAGAGTGGCTAACACCTTATTCTTTCTGGTGTAATAAAGTCAGAGCACTTTGTTGGATAAATGCTGACAGTTAAAGCTGTAACCTGTACTTACCAGATAAAAAAGACTCAGGGCATTTTCTCTTGTCTTTGTTGTCTTCAGATTTCTCTCAGATTTGCAGGATTAAGGACATCATTACTCAAACTATTACCTAAAGGGGGTAGTTGGTCAGATATTTTAAAGCTTTTTACAGCCAAAAGTCTGTGAGCTTTCAGGAATTTATGCAGCATGATAAGAAACTACTAAACTGCATGGCACTAAAGGTAAATGTTGCTTGGATTTTTCTTATTTGCTCTTTAATTTGTGACAAGAAAAGCTAAGTCTTAGCAATGTAGTTCATCAAGAACAATAGTAACTCTGAGAAAATACACAAAGCATTGCCTATTGTGTAAACTATGTTACCCTTACTTGAAGTTTTCTTAAAACTCTGGCTCCTGAAATTGTGTGAATAAATATTTTTGCCTTCTGAAAACAAGACCTGTAGAAAGTTCAAAATCTAAAAGGCAAACAAGATTTTAATCAGTAGTATTTTAAAACATTTCCCTTTTAAAACACCCCAGTGATTACATGAGGCTTGACTCATGGTTTTTAAGCATGGGATTGCTAATGCTGAATGGGAAAAAACTGTTCTTCGTCTACCCTTTTTCCATAAAACCTCTGTTTCCGGCACAGGCGTATACAGTGCCTGTGAGGCAGAGTTCTGCTGGGTTTCCTGGTTCCCTGCTGGTGTGTGAGCAGCAATTCAGTTTGGAATTCAAACAAAGCACAGCACAAGCTGGCTCTCGGAGGGGCCCTGACCCTCAGTAACTCCCGGCACACGCAGACCTCACCACTGTATGCCCTGCTGCCTTCCAGCCCCGCAGATGGGGCAAAGCAAACAAGAGATCTACTGTGCACTTCCAGGATTTTCTCTTTCTATAGAGAAAACAAATGTTAAAATTAGCCACGTTTGAAACATAAGAGAAGCACTTACACTGGAGAGGCACTTCCATATTAATATCAAGGCCAATGGAAAGCTTGGCTCCGTTTTTTGTCTTTTTTGCCCCACCTATGGAAAACAGCAGAAAAATGTGGAAACATTGAGTAAGAATGAACTGCTGAGTGTCCTTGTGTTTATGGTTTGGCACAGAAAAGTGATACAAAATGAATTCTCTCCACCCCACCCCTTGATATATTTTTACTGCTTCCTCCTTTATTCTTTCTCACCATTTTTCTCTTTCTCACTGTAGTGTTTATTCATCTTTGTAAAATATCCTTTCTTTTCTTGCCTTAGGTTTGTTATGTGTGGAGGTACATAGTGGTGTGTTCCATATCCCCAGACTTTTTACTTTATTGTTTTTATTTTATTTTAATTTTTATTATTATTTTCTATTTGATGAGGCCAATACTTACCTAAAGGTGCCTACTTTCTTTACTGCTCCTGTCGGTCAATAGGCTGATATTTTCTAATATTAAAAAACCCCCAATACACTACTTATATATTATTACTGTTATATTTATTTCACTTGTATTTGCCTAGTTTCCTCTAATGATTCTTTTTCTATTTACATTCCAGTAACATGGCTCTGTCCCTTTCCCAGTTTCTACTCGCTCTCCTGCTTCCTTGTTACTAATTCCCTGTAGTTACTTTTTGTCCCTTCAGCACCATGCTTTAGCTGGCACTCTCTTTGCTCCAAGATGTACCACTACAGTTTTTATGGATCATTTTCTAACCTGCTGATTTTAATGTGGCAGAGACAGACATCCCAGTAATAGCAATGTTTGATTAAAAAGAGATTAAATTATTAAAGAAAATAATGCAATATTTTAGACACAATGGAAAAACGCAGTGTTTTCTGCTACTTACATTTTTTCCACAAACCTTGAATGTAAGTACTTATCAACACATAAATTACAATTATAGATGTTTGCCAGGAAAGAAAAATATGGTAGGACAATTGAACTACAATTTTTTAGATCAAAGAATAGCTTATTAACTTACTGAGTGTGATCATGTCTTTTGCTGCTGTCTGTCTGCATTGAGGTCATGAGCCTGTTATTTGAAGATAATGGCATTACTCTTTTGCCTCACGTAGCAGCATTTGTGATTTCAGATCTAACAGCCCTTTACCTTCTCTCTGCTCATGACTCATGGCTGAGTCACCACCTTTAATCATTCTGAAAGCAAAGATTTTATTTTTGCTCTTCTGTTAATCACGGTGAAAAAAAATACTTTGAGGGAAGGTAAAGTGTTATATACTGCAGCAGTGTAGGTATGTAACATTGTACTTATTTTTGTAA